TAAATATGCAAAAATCGTGTAAATCACGATAGTTTAATAGTTCACTAGTATAAATGGTGAATCAGTCAATCAAAGCTCAGTTTTAACATTTTATTGATAATAGTTAAATACAGGAACAATTTAGAGAATTTACTGACGCAATTATTTAACTGTATTTATTCATTATTTGGGATATTTTGTGGACAAGTGAATGATATACATAGATAGCTACTTCACTTCTTCATCTTGTATTTAGTAACACTAACAGACAATATTATCAGTCTATTTGTTGATTGCACATAGCAGAACAACAGTCACTTCAGATATTTTTAAAATATATCAAAGTACCGAAAATATAATTACTGTAGGTGCATCTTTAGTGGTGATCCATCATTAGTAATAGTTGTACCACAGTCGAAGAATGTAATGAGTGGACAGTTGGCAAAATTGTTGTCTACCAGTTACAGTAAGAACCATCCATAAAATGCTTAGCAGTATCAAACAAGTGAAAGTTGGCCGCGGTATTCCCATGCTATGCATACGAAGTATTGTACATTATATCAGCATATACTCGAGAATAGTTATCCAGCTAAACATGTATGTCAAAATTATCACATCTTCTGGTTTTAAATCAACAATTTTGACGGATTTTGTGCAAGGACAGCTTCGGGTTTCGCTTTGGCCGATGCTTGAAATTTCCCGGAAGTACACTTATTTACCGGAAGTTGTCGTCTCCCCCGCAGGCTCTTCGACTACGCGCGCGGCTCGACACAAAATGGAGAAAAAAAATAGGAGCCGAATTTATGACCTCGGTGTCGTACCAACCCGAGGTAATAAATACTCTTAAAAGAGTTAATATATAATATAACTCCAGGGCTCTTTAATAAACCAATTTATTTTACAGTTGATTCAACAAGAGAAATAATATAGCAAAACCTAATGCATGAACAACTGTTACGTAAATTTAAGAATAAATATTCTTACTCGTATCCTCCGGATTTAACTGTGCCAATGTAGCGGAGTGCTGATTAAGTATGTCCTAAAACATAAAATGTTAACGTCATGATCTAACATGAAAATAAGTTAAATCTGGTAGCTGGCATTTTTATGAAAACTTTTCGTATATACAGTACTGTATAGGACTATATAGGTATAATAGGATCATTTCGAGTGCAATTTGGATAAAATATAAACGAGTGGGATTTTCAGTGATCACGAACATAGCACGAAAATAAGCACGTCGTGTGGAGATTGAGGTCTTTGAAAAACTTACAAGTGCTTGCTTCATCCAAAGTGCACGAGAAACCATGCTACTGCTTACGCAAATGTTGAAGACAACTGTACATGTTTTGGCTAACCGTCCGCTGTAGTCTTTGCTGTATGCTATCCTTTTAATAATATAATACCACCTGAGGTAATGATTTGTAAAGTTTTATACAGCCCTGTAAATTCCACAACGTTTTTAAAGACAGAATCGTCTCAAGCGTAAATTTTCGTCCAGATTTAAACTTTGGTTGGCAATGTTTTCTTCGTTTTGAAACAATCTGCTGGCATTTTCTCCGTATAGAAAACAGCTTTGAGTTTCTTCTTCTTCTTTTACCTAGCACTAGTTCTAGTCGGATCTTTGTTCCCCACTCTTTTCTAGCCCTACCAACCTTCAGATCCATAATATTTAGACAGTCCGTCCTTTCCTTATTCAGTCCCCACCTTTTATCTTCCGCTCTAACAACGGCTTTCTTTCACCTCCTCTTATTTTGTATCCATAACTTTTCTGCGTTTCTTCTCTCACCATCTCTACAACTGGTGTCAATTCCATCTTCATCCTTTTCATTTCCAATCTCGCCATCCAACGAACCTCATCATTCACATCTTCCTCAGATCCGCATTACGATTAGCATTTCTATAGCGCAAATTTCCAAGCAGATATAATCAGATGCGCTTTACATCAAGTATTATACGCTTACCTAATTACATACTTAGCCTACACGCGTAAAAACGCTCAGGTTGATGCAGTACTGATGAAAACAGGATTGAACAATGTTTTGCTGCCCACATTGTTCATAGTTGTCAACAATATTGTTACACCCGATTCAGGCTCAACAACATTGTTCAATGTTGTTGACAAGTGTGAACAACGTGGGCAGCAAAACATTGTTCAGTCCTGTTGGGCAACGGGCTCGGCGTTTTTGCCGTGTAGATTATTTTATCTTTACAACAATTGTGATATTACTTTCTTAACTGTGTTTATCCTAACCCAAGCACCCTGAGAAATCCACAACTTTCGGCAGAGCGTTGACTGACTCTTTTCGCATGAGTCCGTGCGAGAATCGAAACCACGAACTCAGAGATGAAAGGCCCTTGCTCTGACGACTGCGCATTGTCCCTCATTCACATTTTACATTGGCTTTTCTCCCATCTTTGTCCTTCATCGTTCATTCTTTGTTTACCCGCTTTCCATGAGCACCATCCGAGACATTTTCAAATGCTACTGTACTAATGCTAACTCACTCCCATTAATATTGCCATCCTCACAACGGTTGTTTCCATCACCAATACAGTACTTTATCTACAGGCTTTTACTTCCCAATCCTTTCCGCTACTTCATTATCCTTTTCTGCTGCACTACGACCCTCCCTTACATTTGTGCAAGGATTGTTTCATTTGCTCCATTTCCCGGCTGACAACTAAATTCAGCAATCTCTATCCCCACTGTTTCCCTGTGTTCAATACTTTGGTCAATATTTCGATGTGATTTTTGCAGTGGCTTTCCTTTCTCACGTATATTTTGACTATATTACTCGTACTCCAAACCGTTGGAAGCTTTCCCTCCTCCATGATTTTACTGAGCAGCAATGTGACCCATTTTTTAATTTCTTTCGTGTCCAAACACTTGAAATGTTCCGCAGGTATCTCCGTGGGCCAAGAATTTTTTTTCAATTTTCGATCTTTTATTTATCACAACAAATAGCGGTTAAATATTAATATACTCTTCCACACTTGCCTTAATATCCTCAGCCAATGTCTGTTGTGTTATCTTATAAAGGTTTTTAATAAATTATTATTATTATTTTAGTGTTTCATTTCCGGTTCCTTTCTTCACATTTCTTATATTTAGTTTTTTCCCACAAAAGTCTTATTCTCTTTCCGTTGTCTACCAAGATCTGGTGCAGACATATAGACATCACACTCTATAGCCTCTTTAGCTGTAGCCATGGCCGCTTTGACACCATTCAACTGCTATTCTAATGAACCAAGCGTTTCATTTGTGCTTCGGATACCATGGACGTCATTGCAACAACTTTCTTCTTTTCTGAGACTCTGAATCTTTCATACAAGAACTGGATGTTTTACGGCCGGAACTTGCCAGATGAACGAAATATTATCGTGCTAATACAACCTCCTCAGCTCCTAATATATTAATTCTACAGTGCACAATGGATGATCCAGCTATAGACTAAATTTTGATCTAGGCAAGAAGACTTTCGGCCCAAATGTGGTACATTTTCCCGCGCGTAATACAAATTAATACAAAATTTGCAAATTTCGCAGGGCTATGTTTTCCGCATTTTACGACATTTCGTGGCCAAACTTTGGAATTTTACTAATTTTACCATGCTCTTTCTAGCTGTGGTGATGTACATATTTTGTTTTTCCTAGATCAACATTTAGTCTCTAGCTGGAATTTCCTATTAATGAAGTAATTGTACTCTAAAGCAATTAGAATTTTATGAATTTAGAAACAGTATCAAGCAAGTTGACTATATACCTGCCGTATTTGCGATGAAATAAAGAATGAGTTTGTCATTGGCTTTGAAACAGTTTGTAAGTTAGCAAGATGACTGGGAGTGCTCGGATAAACATGATATGAAGGAAGAATCTAAAAATACACAAAGAGAATAACATCAGATATAAAATAAGATACTGTCCATCATTTCACTCAAAACAAAGACTAAAATAAGGTTGTTCGCAGTAGGAAAAGTTAAAACCCATTAAAGGTTACTTATGAAACAACCACATCAACAGATGTACAGCATTTAAAGGATTTTATGAAATAAAAATAGTTGGTGGTTTTAATATGTATTCATATATTAGTTAATTTATGGATAATTATGCAGGCTTACCGAGGTTTGTTATGCAACAAGTTCTCACCTTGAGCTCATTGCTTGCAACCCTCCGTGGTGTGAACACGCCTTTCCCCTACACCCACCCTCCCAATGTCATTTCCAGAGCTGTCGTGAGAGGTTTTGCTTGCCTTGTTGCCGCTGTTTTGCGAGTGGAGAATGCAGTAGTAACTTGTTGCCTGGTTGTTGCCAATCAGAAGTACCTGTATCGTTCGATGGTGCTGTGTCATGTGATCTTGCTACCTGTCAGACGCACCTTTGTCTAGCGTGTATTTTTTCCTGTCTTGTTATTTACTGTCTTGTTATATTAACTTAACTATTTGTGATAGATGAACCAGGCGGGAATCGTAATCTTAAGATAAATATTAATGCCCAGCAGAAAATACGTAAAAGAGCCATAACAAAAATATAGTTTAAAAAATATTTATTAGAAAGCTAACGTTTCGTCTTTAACTTAAGACATCTTCAGAGCAATGACATACAAAGCGGAAAACACAGAAATATGAATAAATTACAACTATTTACAAGATATTATATTACAAAAGTAGAAAGAGGAATGGATCAGAGTAGAATTATAATATCCTTCTATTCTAGTATCCTTTCCCATTTTGATAGCACTGGTCACTCCGCTTCTCTTAATGACTTTAACATTATTTCTTGTTGCTCTTCTCCAGACGAACTCCTCATTCGAGAAAGTCTTCTCCGTCATTAACAAACTCAAACCCTCTCTCAACTTACAAGGCAGTTCGGTCCCTCTACTTCTACTCTGATCCATTCCTCTTTCTACTTTTGTAATATAATATCTTGTAAATAGTTGTAATTTATTCATATTTTTGTGTTTTCCGCTTTGTATGTCATTGCTCTGAAGATGTCTTAAGTTAAAGACGAAACCTTAGCTTTCTAATAAATATTTTAAACTATATTTTTGTTATGGCTCTTTTACGTATTTTCTGCTGGGCATTAATATTTATCTTAAGATTAACTATTTGTATAGTTCGGTGCGCTTGACGCTTGTCTTGTTTGGTGTTTTTTTCGTTGTAACTGCCTGCCGCGCCCGCACGCGGACATACCTCCAGCTATTCTGGATGAGTTAGTCTCCTTGTTTGCAAGTGTTTAACTTGTTGTTCTTGTTTTTATGTAGTTACTTATTGCTTGTGTGCAGTTGTTATCCTTTCAGTTTCTCGATTTTGCTGCACAGATGTAACCGTCGTTATTTTGGGTCAGGGAGTACATTTTATATATTTCTGTATATTGTCCGTACAGTTGGGTAAGTGTCTGTCCATGGAGAGCTGAATTCTCGGCATCTGTTTTAAGTTGTCAAGCCGGATTAACGGGATGGTCGGAAGCTTCTCTAACTATGCGACAGCCCAGCGGAGTATGGTTCGTGGTAAGCCGCCCTCTCCAACAGAGCTACATCCTCCAAAATGACTAAACAGTTTCCAAAATGACTAAATAGTATCGCTGACTGTCTACCTTTGCTATTTACATGTTGCTATTAATATAGCGAGTGATTGAATGTTAATGCTGTTTATAATATTGCGTGTATTTGTAGGATTTAATACTGTACGCACAAAAACTGAAAAGGAGCCAAAATAAAACATTTCAACATGAAACGGAACATATTCTCGACGGTAAAAGATGGAAAGTTAAAAAGCATTTTCAAAGACCTTTCTGACAAAGCTTTCACTGTATATTAAGCATATAAGTGGTACAGTACTTACAATGGATGGTTCTGACTGCTGGTTTTCTGGATAAAAGAATGTGGTTCCCCCAATAGATTCTGATTGAATTACGTGATTCTAGAGAACATTAAAATATATTAGTGTGACTGGAATGTGTGCAAACTGACTTAATGGGCTTCACACAATCTGAAGATGCTTTGAGAAGCAAGTACAGTGTATACTATAGGTTCATAAATTTTATCATTTTAAGGATAAGATTGTAAAATGATAATCAAAATGGCCCTAGAGGTAGTAATTTATTGACAAAGTCAGAAATTAATTTAACAAGTGGTACAGTTATTTTAGTAGTTTATATATAAATTGCTAATTCATTACCGTTGCAGTGGGCAGAAACTCAAAGCCTTGGTTTCCTGTAGTGTTTCGTGGAGTATTGTTTCCTTTAGATGATAGAGAATTGACTAGATTCTGCTCAGGTGCCTGAAACATAATAAATTATTATGAACAAATTATGAAGTTTTCAACTTTCTTTGTGTAATAAGTTCAAGTCAGGGCTCAAAATAAAGGCCAGTAAGTCCCCGGTCAAAATGACGGTCAACTGTATTCTACAGTAGCTCAGTCATTTCAGTACACTAACAGTGAAACCAAAAAATAACAAATTTGTTTCATGTTTGAAATGCTTAAGACATTAATCTGAAATGCTCAAGACATAAAACGGACAGTGCTTTTGGAGAAATCCGAACTGAGATTTTATAAATTTTGTAAATCATGCTACAAACACTACAGTGGTAACAGGAGATTATGAGGTACAGTATACAGTAATTTGTAAAATATTGCATCATTCTGCTATATAACCAGACAGTAGCCTCTGACTGGAGGAGGCTACCCTAACCTATAATGCAGCCAGTAAAAACAAAAAAATATGGTGTGACTAGCAATGAAATAACAAATTTGTATTTGAAGTCAACATGTCCTACTCCCAGTCAAATCTAAAACCTTCTACAGTACATATATCACCTCCATGCCAGATACTGACATCCCTGAAAAGTTCTTTGCTAAGGCATTAGTCTCAGCATTTCCAGCAGCATATTTATTACCAGCATCATTTGAAGGATACACACTTGTTGATGGCAAGACTGTAAAACTTTTATCACCTAAAAATATAAACATGGCTGTAAGAACCTGAACCTGTTCGAACATTGAGATTTGTGAAGCTGAATTCAAGATTTACTGTTAATGAACATGAAATTTCTGCTGTTTGGAGGAGGGAGGGGGTAAGCTTGAATCCACTTCCACGTTTATTTTTGTAAACACATACAAAAAATCTTTGCAACATTTAGTAGTTTTTTATGACTTTTCCCCATGATCAACTGTGTGCCTGACCAGGCTATTGAAAAATGCATTTTGTGTCACAATTTTGTCTTCACAGTATGGTGATGGGGGCAACAAAAACTGCAGCAATAATAAAATGAGATGAAAACTGACATTTAATATATCACATCAGCCTACTATTTCCTCATGTTTTGTGCATAATAGTGTTACGGATAATCTTGTGATTGGTAGTCAATTTATCCCGGGCATTCTGTGACCCCCACCACGATCATATCAGATCATGTCAGCGGCATCTAGTAAATTATTTAAATAACATCGCCCAAAGTTCGATTCAGGTTTTACTCAAAATTCCAAAGGAATTTTATTGCTGAATATTTTTCATCTACATAGAAAGTGGAAATATTTCCAGATACATGGGCCATCATTTGAATATTTACCATCAAAGAACAAATATGACTGATTGACTGGTTTATAGTTTATTTTGTCTAAAATACATTCCCATGTACATGCAAATTACATCCTCTGAGAAAATTCACAAACTAACCCCTCTGAAATTTGAGATCCTTGACGTGGCTAGAAAAATAATAAATGCCATACCATCACAATATTCACTAAATGTCAGTGGATCCTTTTATTTATATATATTATCACTATATATTTAGATTTTCTGCATTTGTATTTCAGCGAGTGCCAGTGGCGTGGTTGTCTAGGGTGTTGCGTGCATTCTTACATGCTGCTAATTGGCGTCCAAATCCCGCAATGGCCAATCATATTTCTTTCTTTAACATTTTTCCTCAGATTGCCTTTATACAATACCTTTTGGTTAGATTAGGATTAGGGTTAGGGTCAGGTTTATTTTTTAAGTGTATTTTTTTCAATTAAAATAATATCTTTAATTAACTTTAGTCAAGCAAAGTGTTTCACCACGGTATGGCCATTAGTGCTTTCCGGGTGGCTAACGGAGTATAAAGGGTTATTTTAACTTGTTACAAAAGAATGGAGAAAGGGACATTTACTTCCATGCTTGTTCATTGATTATTAATTTATACTTTCATATTGCCAGGACCAGAGAAAACATTAATACTTGTAAGTGTGGAATTACTAGACAACACAGGGGAGTTACTACTGTATGACTGTAATTACTATATTATTAAATTGCCCTTCTTTAAAAATTCGATAAATTATTTTTTAGAAATGTTATTTCACTGTCACTCGAGGCCATTTTGTAGTTCGTGCCAATTTCCATAATTTGTGTACGAATTTGAATTGTGTTAATTAATGCTAAATGTTGAGCCACTGACATGATCTGATTTGATCGCGGACCGGAGTCACAGAACGCCCGGGATAAATTGACTACCCTTGTGATTGGGTTCAAGATCAAAGAAAAACCTACTTGAACATGAAACATGGGGATACTGTAACTTTCGTGTGCACTTCCATGCCAAAACAGGCAAACATGGAAACAAGGCCATTGAGGTAACAGTAACTTTGCATACTTACATATTAAATTCTCACATATTTATATGTCTACTGAATTTGTTGTACACTGACACACTGTTGGCAATTTTAAACATTAACCCATTAATTAAGCTCAATTAAAACGACAGGTAATTGTACTAGTCAAGGGGAGAGTGTTGGGCATTAACGAGTTATAAACATCAACTCAAGTGCACACTTGAATAAAGTTCAAACAGGACTGCACACTTGTACACATAAATTTTTGTCAAAAACTGCCATACTCTGCCACCTGGACTAGCTGTCTTTATAACTACAGTACAAAATACAATTTGACCGCATAGTCTTGAAAGTTGAAACTTTGTGCTTTGATCATTTTTTCCCCTTTCACATAACACGTTATTTATGTTATTACCTGTAGTGAGTACTCGAGCAATTTACTGGTTTGTAATTGGTAAACAACACAATTCTTTACGACATTTGGTTTATAAAATATGAATTACCGAACACACAAACATACATTGGTTTAACTTATTAATCAAGCCTAAACCAATATGAGTAATAAAACAAACTAAGAGGCCTAAGAGAGGTAAATGAACGAGCTCACCTGTCTGAGAAGATCCTGCACCAGGTTTCGCGTGAACAAATTGACACGAATCTCCAAAGAAGCATTTTCCGTCGGTGGCAAAATAGCGACATAACGTAGCTTTCACAGGTCTGTTTGCGGCACCTGGGTGGGAATTGCTCATTTCTATAGGTGCACGTTTATTCAAACTACAGCGTAATATACATCAAGTCGATATTTTGTTTGAAAATATTCATATTTCAAATACACATCCGAGTACACATCTTCCCGCCTCCATCTTGTTTTTTTTACAACGTAACGTTCGAATTTTCGTGCGCGCGCAGCATTCTACGTGATCACCTCACAGATTTATTTTAATTAAAAGGATTTTCATGATTTATCTGATACTTCAGTATAAATCGGATTCGATTACTTAAATGCAGTGCCGTCGGAAACAAATGTTATTC